GCTTCAATATAAGACAGTGCATTCCTGGTTGGGTGCTCAGACACAAAAATGTAATATGATGCAATATTGGTGATAGCCGCGAGATCTCCGTGGTATTCTCCAGTAATAGTGTGCCTTTGATTGATGGAAAGCTCAAGGCGAAATGTCGAAGCCTCCGAGGTCTGCATCTAGACAAGAGAAGTTTGTTACGTTGCGAAATAAGCTCATCCCAGTGTTGACGTGACATTTCAATCTGGCTGTCATGCCGGGAGTTTTATTGAAAAAAGTTCTGTGCTCATAGTGGAGTCCCAGTGGCATTTGTCTATGTAACTTTTACCTTAAAATATACAGTTGATAGTCACTTTGGCTCTAACCTGACAAACACTGTAACATTGTTCAGTTAGAATGGAAAAATACTGAGATATTTTATAAAAGCAAACACCAATATTTACAACATGAAGTGCATATTTAAGAGAGAAAGAAATATTAAGTGAATATACAGAAGTGGGGGAAATATGGGGAGAAAGAGAAATTTTTATAAGATGCAATAATAGAGACAATAATGGAACAAATCACAACAATAAATACAGTAGTAATAATAATAAAAATAATAAATCATAATCATAATAAAGTCTATAAATAGCAAAGTCTTATTTTGAGTTTAATTTTGAATTTCTTTTAATGCTAGTTTAAAGAGCACTTCCTGTTATTCTCAAGCTCTTCTCAACAACTGATTTTAATTTTAGCCCTCAAGATAAGTAAAATTAACCTTAATCACTATTAAACCAAGATGAAAGTAACTAAAACATTAAAAAAAAACCTATACAATAATGAATGATGTACTCAGCATCCAACTTTTAAAGGTGCACTGCGCAACATTTCTGGCAGAGGGTCAGCCACTTACTAACATTTATCCAAAACATAGCGTTTTTACTGCTAAAAAAGTACAGTTATTCCTTCTGTGAATAGGTCGACTCTCCACAGATCTGAATTGTATTGTAGTGTAGCACTGTAACATGTTTTTTCCCTTGTGATATATAGGTTTAATCTATGTGGAGCATTCTAGACAAAGTAATAACATTTCCATGGAGACATCAAGTTGCAGACCCTCCACTAGAAATGTTATGCAGTGCACCTAAGTGAATGAATAATGCATAAGAGCTTCAAATCAGGAAAATACAGCTCAGAAAAGAAAACATAAACTGACCCTACATACAAACTACATGTAAACCAGTAAGAAGCTTAGTATGTGAACCAAAGCTTTGTTCTTACGGTAATAGACAATCCTCACTGTCCACATGACCACGGCCTTTCTCTCTGTGCCAGTGTCGGTACCTCCTCTGTCCATGTCAGAGCTCAGTGAGTCTCAGTGAGTCCCAGTGTTTGGACAGGGACCTGCGAGGAGTCTGTGTTTACCATTTGAACACAGGAGACACGTACAGGGAGACAAAGCATGAACACACACTCCGACTCAAGCTGAGAGAAATATATTACTCTCCAAAACATCCTCATCTCCATCTCTCTGCATGTGGATTTTCAACTACACTCATTTGCCATGGCAGGAGGCACTGATGCCAAAGGCTACAGTAAACTCATTTGTTAGTTGTCATCTCAAACACTGATGTCTCTCTGGTCTAAGCTGCTGGTGACACACTGAGAAACAACATTAAATGCAACGTAGAAACATACATTTGTTTGCTTTTGTTTCCTGTCATTGGACTCCTGACCATTAAAGATTGTGCAAAATTGACCTTTTGGAGCTTTCTGTCATGTTATTACATTGTCCCCTCATCAAAAACATGCCTGGAGAGATTTTATATGTCATTCATGCATGTTTGAGTAATCTTGCGCTGTAGTTTCATTAGCTGAATAAATGCAGTTTAGCATAGTGCTGTGAAAGTGAGAACAAAGGGAGGGAGACTCACGAGTGTCAAAAACTAAACTAAAACTCATCAAACGTGTTAATGCGTTGTTTTCAGCAAATATAGCATTTTCAAAACAATAAAAGCAAACATGGTGATCAAAATATGTTATGTGGAAGCAATTAATACCCCATAGAAGTGTAATACCCCCTCTTTAACCATAGTTTCAGATCTGACAAACAGAAAATGTATTCTTTCATTTATTCACTAAAGGTAATGGTCACTCCACATCTAAGACATGCTCATCTTTATGTATGGTCAGAGGAATTGGATTACTACTCAGACCAGCTGTTAACGGCATGGAGACAGCACTCTCCAGTCCAAGTGTCAGTACTCAAAACAAGGACTGAACTGATAACCTCCTCACTGAGAATGTTTATAGAGCTCTGTTTTATAATGACTGATACTGATTTGATCATTTGCACCATTAACTTTACCATAACACCGCTGTGGTGCTATGACAAGGAGGGGCTTTTGGTTCTTCTTAGAGCTCAGCTACAGTCCTGCTCACTTCTTGCATTCTGGAAGTAAAATTCATATTCATTTTTCTTTCCCACAGACTTAAAAAAAAAAGTTTGCTGTGACTAATGAGCTATGTGATAACTGATGAGCAGAAGACACACACAGATAACTTAGAAACTTCAAAGATGTACATAGATTTAGCAAAATTTTAGGTTTCAGATATGTTTTTCAAATAATCGTGGCATGCACATTAGCGTCCGTTTAAGCTCTTAATATTAGAATTTTAACACAGCAACATTATAGCTTCATTAAAATGTGTTTTGCCCAGTCCATAATGTGCATACCAGTCAAAAGTCTGGGCATACCCTCATTCAATGTTGTTTTTTTTTATGTTTCCCACTTTCTACATAAGAGAGACATTAAATATTTGATTCAAGATGTATGGAATTGTGTAGTAAAAAAAGAACTCAGCTAAATTTTCTTTTTTTGATATTTTAGATTCCTCTAAGTAGCCACGGTTTGTTTTGTTGACAGTGCTGTAAACCCTTGGCCTTCTCTCAGTGAGCTTTGCAATAAAGTAACCTGAAATGGTTTTCAACTTCAAGCGTGCCATGTCAGGGTCAGGGAATGCCAATTGTCCAAAGCAGAGACCAAAACAAAGAATGGCTAGTTTTTGAAATCTAAAATCTGAAACAAGTTGGGAGTTATTTTGAGTTTATTCTTTATTTACTACACTCCACAGGTGTTCATCTATAATTTTTGGATGATTTTTTAAATTATGTCCAAACTTTGGTAGTGTATGTCTCACTTTTTGTTTTACATTTTGCGTCGTTCAAACCAGTAGTAATAACCTTTAGTCTGTATCATGCTAAATTCTAATCGTTTTCAAATCCCATTGAATTAAACAGGACAAACACACAGAGAAGGGCATTGATGTCAAATGTGTCAAAGGCTAAACTTCTCTCTTAACCATCTTTTGTTTGTCTTTATCCTCTCGTCCTTTGGCCTCGGTTTGTGTGAGCGTGTGAGTGACAGATCCGTGGTATTGGCGTCCCAGAGTAAACCCCGGCGTGAATGCTGCACCATGGGAAACTGTGTTCACATGAAAAGCCTGCAAATTAGTATGTCCTGCATGCGGGGCGCTACTTAGCTTTAGCTTTGACTTTGTCCGAACGTCAGCGGGGACAGTTGGGTGCTAGGTCGGTGTTATTGTTCACAGGAGGCAGCAGCTGGAGCCGAGTGGCGACAAAGTCAAAGGTCATGTGTCAATGTTTGTCTACCCAGGAAATGAGTGTGTGTTTAAAATGTATGACAAGCTCTGAGCACCAAGGGACCAGGCTAATAATACTGCTCTGAATATACAATGTTGTCATTATTCCAGAGCTCAACAGAAAGATCGAGACCTATTTAACACCAGCCTGCCTTTGGCTCAAGTTAATGGCACCTTTGTGAATTAATGAAGGGGAAAACAAACATTTAGACGAAGCATTAGCACGTAAAGGAAAACAAGTCATGGCTAAAATAGCTTTGGGTTTATTTTAAATTAAATGGATATTGTTATTCATTACTACGGCAACGGTGAGGCTTCGGTTGGTCTGTTAGCCGTGACAGTACACTGGCGAAAGGATTAGCGCTCCTTCCTCTGAGCAAGAAGGTATTGAGTTCCAATCCTAATCAGTGGGTACATTTACATGCCCAGGAAATACAGGATAACTAGAATAATCAGATAACCCGATAAGTAGATTTTGGGACATTAGAGTCATTTCTTTTGACACAGGCTCTTGATATTTTTGCTACTTCTTTTTACCATTTATATTCTTCATCTTTGTTATTATATTATATTGTGATATGTGAGCTACGGTGTCCAAATAATTTCCCTTGTGGGTCAGTAAAGTTTGTCAAAATCTAAGTCTAAGTTTTAGAGTAAGACAAACTGCAATGGATTAAAAAAAAAGTCTTTCAGTCTTCATCTTTCATTTTTCACTTTGCCACATTAGTTTGCCATATTTTGCATTTTCCTTGCCAAAATCTGCACTGGTGTGAACAATCAGGAAGAAATCAGAATACCCATCAGGTGTAACTATTTCAATTACATTTCATTAATCAGATTTTGGTGTGCATGTAAACAGCCTGTGAGGGGTCTTTCTGTGTCACGTTAGCTCATTTGCACAGGATGTCTGAGTGCCTGGTTACAAACATCACCCTGAAACATTCATTCAGGTGCTCCTGAGTCCTGACGCTCAGTTGATATCAAGGACGTCTGGACAATGTTGGCCGAAAACACCTTGTATTATTGAACTTGTATGTTTTCAAAGCTGTTCTGTAGTTATTTTATAGGATATGTTGTTGGCGATTAAAGGAAATAAATAATATTCAGTCAGTCTTTGCCCTTTTTGTTGATATTGGGTATTGGCATATACTTAAAGCCAAAGTATCAACATCAGTATCACAACAGAAAAAGCTGGATCAAAGCATCCCTAGTCTTGACCATGAAACTATTTAAAATTAATAAATAAATAAAATGTAAAAGATTGAGTAATTGTTCAATGTAGGTGCATGTGAAATACAAGATGCATTTGGATTTTAATTGGTTTATTTCCATTACGTTTTCTAAGGCTTTGTGCAATGATGTTTCAGATTATTGATGAAGACGACACACAGTTCATGACCAACTGTCCACCTGCAGTGACAGAGAGCACCCCCCGCAGACGCACCAGGATACAAGTGTTCTGGACAGCGCCCCCCACTGGTAGTGGGTGTGTCATCCTCAAGTAAGTCCATGGATGTATTCTACTACATAAATAGGCTATTAGAGGTTTAAAATACATAAATAAATGAACAAAAGAAACCATATTTTGACAGCATTAGATATTCTTGCAGTATTAGTTGCAGTGATGTTTTGGTCTTACAGAATAGTGATAGTGGGGCAAACATGAGAACATATTTGGAACCATTTTTTCCTCTTCTGACCATTTCTATTCATTTTGTCCAAAGAGGAATGTGTAAAATCTTGATCAAATGGCCCAAACTTTTACCAAAGGCTTCATTTAGCACCTCTTTGGTGTCAAGGAAACTCCATTGTAAAGTTAATTTCCTTTCTCAGAGCATAATTGGACCTTCTCTGAAAACTCTTCAAAGGCCATAAAGTCCAGTTTCTCAGTCATCTATTAAAAACAGCATGAATGAGCAGAGCAGATGAAAGGAGAATCTAATATAATATTAAACCAATCCTCTGGAAAATTACATTGTACATGTGTTTCTTTTGAAGGCTGTCTGCCCTGAGGTCCAGTGCCAAGGTGGTGCACATAAATATGACCACTAATAATAGTCACTTTAGAAACAAAATAGCTCCAAAGTGTTCCATATTATGGGGGGAACTTCCCTGCTTTCAAAATTTCCTTCTGCAAAATCAATTCAGAATTCTATTCAGGAACCCTTAATAAATTGACAAATTCCTAAGATCTTGGCAAAAGTACCCAAAATCAGACTGTGCGTTAGCCCAGGTGTGAGCAGGAGTGCGCTATTAGAAATCCTGCCTCTGGTGCCAAAAGAGCCAGGGCCTGTATTATTCCTGCGTTATGTTGTGTTAGTTAGTATTAGTGTTAGTATTGTATTATGCTAACATATACTTGACGTGTCCACATAGAGACCAGAGTTACATGTGAACAATGTGGAGCAGCCCACTATAGTGTGGTCACTTTGACGAGTTATGGGTGTCATAAATCAGAAGCAGGAGTGGTCCTGTCTGTGTGGAGCTGGACTCTGGCTCTGCTCCAGACAGATGATGAGAGCTGCACACAGGTGTGAGGCAACGCATGTGTGTTCGGTTAATCTATGTGCATGATTGAAACTGTCTGTAGACAGAACAATATAACATGTGGTGACATTTAAAGAATATCCCCCTTCAGATAATATTATAGATTACTTTATGGGGCTCTCTCCATCTTGTCCATTACAGACACATCAGTCTTAAATGGCTCTGACTGAGTAATGTAACATGTCTAAAGCTCGATTTAGTGAACTTTTACATTAAACAGATGATATGTGTTCGTGCTAATTGAAATAGAATTGGGAGATCTGGTAAATTTGAAATAAAATGATTAGTAACAGTCAGAGATGCCCTTTTAATACACCTTTATAATACTGCTCCTTACTGTCTTCAAAGTGTGAGATGTGAGGCTTTCAGCTGTCAAAATCTTAACATAGATTTTAATGACAACACTTTGAGCAGACAGCACTGTTGTCAACCCAGACTCAATAAAGAACATAGATAAAAATCTGTCACTTTAATTAAGCACTTTCTTATTGCAATTATCGTACCAGGCTTTGAGTGTGCTTATTCCCTCAAGTCAGAAAACTTAACTTCTCTGGTTTTCATGTTTACACTTGCAATTCACCTTTGACAAAGGAGATTTAATCAACACTTATATGATTGAAAATATTTTAAAAAAAATGTTTTGTTGTGTTACATTTATGTGCCAATCTTTGTACCTTTGCCAGTTTAGGAATTTCTGCACAGATAACTTTTTTCATTGCAAACTGCATAGTTTAAATAAAATCTAAAGCCCCTGCCACTGAGAAACCTTGGGCCTGAAAGTTTTGCAGACCTATAAAATAACTTTGTTTTCTTTTCTACCCATCTGACAGCTCCTATAAAAACAATAACAGCTGTATAATAACTTGGCGACACACCTGAGTATATTCTCCTTCTCTTGTTGTGAATATCCAATGGGACTCGCCTTGTGTCGGAGCGCGGTGCTGAAACTTGCCCTTCCCAACATGGCACCCTCCCAGCTGTTGGCTTTAATTTATCTGCTGCTCCTGTCTGGCAGATGGAGCAGGGCCAGCGTCGTATTCTCTGGTCCAATAAAGGCACGAGAGCGTCTGGGAACATCTGCTGTGCACGCTGCTCACCTGTGTGACGGCCGGCCGGGTGCTTCTGTCACACTTGTATCTGTCAGTGCTGGAGCCAGATTTAAGCATTACCTCATCCAGGCTGTCATCATTCAGCACTCAGCTGCCATGGCTCACACACGTCTCCTGTACTAATGCAGATACTGGGAGGATACAGGATGGGCATCTGAAACAAAACAGCATCAGTAGTTTAATATCTGAATTAAAAGTCCTATGTTACACAGAATTGACTCTTGTGAGCTTAAAGCCATGTTATAATGTTGTTACCTCATCAAAAGAATACATGAAGTTGTGTTTTGTTTCATTCACACATGTTTGAATAACTCTTTATTAGTCTATTTACATCTCCAAAGCTCAGAATGCTCTGTTCCAGTAGTTTTCAAGTTAACAGCTGCGTTTTACCTTTTGTTCTGTAGAGATGGGCTAGCCAGGCTGATGCCACCTAGTGCCTCCGCTCAATTTCATTTCTCTCCAATGATTAGGTCAGGAATCGGAATACACTAGATGGTTTGTAAAAACTGCGGAAGTGCAAGTCCGGGCACCAGCCAATCAGCGAAGAGCCATACATTCTGTGTTGGCAATGTTTGGTGAATTTTATCAAGGGGAAAGAAGTTATTGCCCTTCTTCCTATGGGATTTAGGAAAAGATACTATACCAGTTAGCCCCTTTAGCAGCGCATTACATACGTCACAACCAAACAGCAGCGCTCTGTTAAATAAAAAAATTAAAAAACTACCCGAATCCTAATGCTGCGAGGTCAGACGATTTCCACGAAGCGAAACACAGTGGAGTAATTTATCATTACCGTATGACATCACAAGGTGGAATAGAGTGTTTTCTCTTTGAGAGAAGACCTCAGCCAAAATATGCAGGATTTGTGTGTTAAACATGTGTGAATGAAATAAAACACAACTCCAGACAGTGTGATAAGGAAAACAACATTGTCACATAGACAAAAAATTGTGTAATATGCGCCTTTTATCTTAAATTTTTTTATCTGCTTGGTTCAATTGAGATGTTGTCTTAGTTGTTTTCAATGACCTGTGTTTTTATTGCTCAAATACCTTAAACAATCTTCTAATTGAAAGCAGGCTCGCCGTTATGGGTCTTTTCAAGAATATGCACTCATCCAGAAACCTGCTTTACTTGAAAGTGGATACAAGAGCTGTGTAGTCACATTTTATGCAGCGTCTTCTTCGCACTAACGTTTTCAAATAAAGTGTTATGCTTACCTTTTAGGCATCTGGTCGGCCCAAGCTAAATACCTGTAAGAGATTTAAGGCCCGATAGCTGATGTGCAAAAAGTCTAGAGATAACACCTTCATGGATATTGGAAGAACCTCAACAGTGATCACACCTTTGATTTACAATATATATAATGTACCCATAATGCTTTTTATTGCATTATACAAGCATCATTCCCTCACACCATATTCGACATAGGCAATGATCACAAATAACGTTTGGGTTTGTGGGGCAAATGAGTCTCTGTTACTCTGATATTATGCAGCTGATATCAACAAAATTGGCCTGGGGGTGTGATGCTAACTGAAGGTATTACTCAATCTGAAGCCCTGTAACTCAAATATTTTAAGAAAAGCTGACCAGACAAAACTAACTTAGCTTGATATGTGCACATAAACAAGACTGTCACACAAACACTCGTACTGATCACAGTCTCCTGAAAATATGTTGTTTAAATCCATTTTGTATTTTTTTCTTGAATCTTCAGACAAATGTTTTTGGCAGAGTTTGCTATTGTGTGCATTGTGTCTGCATGGTAACTACATGTAGATGAACCCCAGCATGATGCTTCTGCAAAGTATCAATGTGTCATTGAGTGGTCACAGGAAACCACCAACCTTTGAGTGAAAATGCAAACTCTTTTCTCAAAAACTTTGCATAGTGGGTTCAATCTCGGTTCTCGTACATCTCAGAATGTAGTGTGCATGATCCCCTTTTGCATAATTTTTCACTTTGTACACCTACACAACATGTAAATATACTGTATTGGCATTTTTCCTTGTCTTTTTCATTCTACGCCTTAGTTACAGAAGACCAAAGCTAACGAGATTCACTAGATGTTTTACAAAAAGCAACACATTTTCTTGTATATGTATATGTTATGTATTAGCATGTCTGTATTTTGGGTCTGACTGTAAGTTGGCAGTGAGACTTGTCAAACACATGTCTGTCAGTGTGGTCCAGAAGGCTTCAAACTACACTCTTTGCAGTTGGGAGCGCTCCAGTTCTTTTGGTGCTGTATACGCCTCTGGGATCTCATTTAATTACATTCAAACTCCACCACACACCTGCTCCTCTCAAATCAGTGCAATTATTTTGGGCAGGGAAAGGGTGCAAAAGCTGTTAGTGACAGATGTAAGGCATGCACACACAGACTTATTCTTATTAAGATATGCCAGCAATGGGGGATTATTTATTTAGCGCGCTCTTTAGTTCTGCCATAAAACACTGATATGATTAGAGAACCTTGGACAAAGCTGAATAAAACAACCCCAACGCAGCAGCTGCCATGTTCCCGACCAACTTTTAACTTCAAAATTTTATATTTAATAAGCAACGAATGTGGGTGGTGGATTAACGGTCCTATATTATGCAAAACTAAGTCTTGTCAGCTTTAAGCTATATTATAATGTTACCTCCTCAAAAACATACCTGGAGTTGTGTTTTATTTCATTCACAGATGTTTCAGTTATTAGTTTGTTTATATCAAACCTCAAAATGCTCTTTTCCACCTTGCGATGCCATGAAGCAGGGGGTTTCAACTTTCTACCTTTCTACTTTCTACTTTTTGCCTTTTGGTATATGGAGTTTAAAAACACAGTGGAGCACATCC